CGAATCATGGAAAAAAGAGAACCGCTGTAATAGTTTGTTTCCATTTGCGCGCTCTGGCGAGGGCGGGCAGGCCTGATGCGGTTACTGTGTTCCGCCTGCAAGTGCAGCAGTTAGAGGATGCTTATCTTTGGGCGCGCTCTCGAATGGTGCGCGGAGGCTGAGAGCCAGACTCATTATTTATGGTAATGTGGGAGGGGAGGGGTGTTTGCAGTGGCTGTTTTTGTAAATGTTGACGTCATCATCATTATAAACATGCATTCGGGACATACTTGGACAGCGTCAAATTTAAAGCAAGGAATTGATGCAAAAGTGGCAGGGCACATGCGTGGTGTCAGCACTTACTCAACTAACACTCAACATTACGACTTGAAGTTAAAGCATGTGTAGGATGAGCTAACTCGCAGTTCGCAAGAGGCACGGGCGGCACACGAGCACAGGGCGGCACACGTGAAGTCTTCGCCCGGGAAGTTGGTGGGAAAAGCTGAGGATTGTATCAAATGCTCGCTTTCTCGTAAGGAGAACGTGAGTCGTCTGGAAAAGCAAGGAAATGTGATGTAATGCATGCGTGCACACTCATTCGCAGCGCTGTTTTGTGGGTTGCGAAAGTTGACCGTGAGGCGCTGGAACAGCAGGGCTGTGCCGAAGCGAATGTGCTACCGTTACCAACTGTAATATGCGAAATGCACGCATTCTTGCGCATCGTGTCTTAAACCGTACTCTTCGCGCACTGCCCGATTGACAGCGTGTTACCGGTAAAATTTATAGCATGTTCTTAGCCAGTGGACGTTATAAACCGTGACGGGGGCCACACCAATGATGAAAAGTCGTGGGTTCGGGACTCACGCCCTGCGGTGTTTTTTGTCGGCAAGCACACGAATCTCAGACCCTCGACGCCGCATCCGTGGACCGCCGCTTCAACTGGTACGAAGGGCCTCCACGCTGACCGCAGCACCCCGAAACTGATCGAAACCCCCGCCGCCCTGCGGCCCGCCGGCGGCGCCGGCAGCGCTGCTGCTGACTCGGCCGGCGGCCGTCGGCCCCGGCGGCCGCCACCGCGACCGCTCAATTATGCAAGCCCCGGCCGACGCATTAGCTGCGCACAGCATCTGGGCCGGACCTGCGACGCGCCGCAGACGGCGGCGCCGGCGTCCGTCACCGTCGCCTCGTGTCGCGCTAAGTGCGCGTGACGGGCGTGGCGCGCGGCGACGTCGACGCGACGGGCGCGGCGCGACGCGTGCGCTGGGCGTCGCCGGTGCGTGGCAGGCCGACGCCACGTCGCCCGCGCGCGGAATCGCTCCCGACGGAGCGGAGCGCCCCGGTCTTTACAGGCCAGATATTGTGTTTCTGCCGCCCGATTGACGGCTTCAGACTGGCTCAGAGTCAATACCGACGTCTGCCGTGGCCCCGCGGGTCCCGTCCTCCCACGAGCGCGGATTGAGCCGTGCAGTGACTGCGACGCTGCCCGCCTCCTGCGCGGCCGCGCTGTTGATGCCGAGCGCGTGCCGTCCTCTCGCTGAGGACAGCCGGCGCGGCGGGCTGTCGTCGACAGGGCGCCCTCGGCGTCTCCTCGCAGGACTCGGCCCGCACACGGCGTCGGGGCCGTATCGACCCCGGCCCGGTCGGGCACGGGCGGCAAACAACACCCCCGCCGCGGCCCGCTCTGATCTGGCCCGCCGCAAACAGCCCCGCAATCCGCTCAGGCCGGAGGGGCGGCATGACGTCACGGATGTCAAGGGGAGGGGGAGGGCATGTCGGGCGCGGCCGCGCCTGGGTTTGCGCGCTGGTTTTCATGTCTGGCCGCGGTGTAATGTGGCAACATTGTGGGCTACTCCGGGCACTGCCGGACTCTTGAACGAGCGCCTCTGTCTGTAGGCCTGCGGTATCTGGGCGGCGTGTTGGCTGTTTATTTAGGTCAGGACACGCTAATTGGTCGTCTGTGTTAAAGGATGGACGGTGCAGAGGCCGTGCGCCTGCGGCGAGCACCGTTAGAAATGCCTGCGCTGAGAGTCATGGCGTGCTTGTCTGGGGTCTGTCGCGGAGGCTTATTGTTGCGGGGCGCTGCCACGGCGGCCTCAGGCGTTGTCGCTGTCAGTCTGGGGGCGCGAGCTGCTCCATCAGACACGGAGCGCCCAGGACGGTCAGCTGACACGTCTGCGTGTCGTCCTGGTCAGTCAGCACGTGGGCGTGATGTCGGCGAGTCCGTGGACGATGGATGGGTGCGGCGCGGCAGAACCTGGCCGGCAAATAAAGCCGCGCCCTGTCTAACGTTAACGGGCGGTGTTTGTCTTGGCCGCTGAAGGCTGTATTAAACATTTGAATGGACGGTGCAGCGTTGTAATGGATCGCACTAACTCGTTGTCTCTGGTTAGGGGTGCTTGGAAATCGCTGTTATCTTTGTGGGTCGGTAAATATTGTGGTAGTTAACGTTCGGCTTCGTGGCGAAGGTGGGTAAGTTTGTTTTTGGACGGTCATCTGGACCACCCAGCGAATGGTTCAGCAATCAATCCCGGTCTGCGCGTGATGGCCATTGGCTGGCATCCATTCCGATCACAGATCGGCGATTGCCTCTGGTTTTTCGTCTCCTGCGATTGCAGATGCTACGATTGCTTCGGAGAGCGCCGCGATTGAGGATTTACCTTTACTTGTTTTTCCCAACGCTTCCGTTTGAAGCGGCTGTCACCCGGCAATAAGTGAATAGTTTCTTCCGCTGCGCGCTCCAGACACCTGCGCCGACTAGCTCCCCCATTCTTCACCCCCCCCCCCCCTCGCACCCGTGTTACGCGCCGGGACGACCCCCAGTGTGCGACCGGCATCTTCGCCCCTCCCCAGCCCCGCCCCGCCGGGGCCAACACGCACGTGCCCCCATTGTGTGACGCCCGCGCCGGGGGTGGTTACCTTCCATTCTCTGAGCGCCCAGGGGCCGGCAGCCGCGCCCCGGACGTCGGGCCCGTTGTTGGGGCGTCCTCGCGACATCCGGTGCAGGGAAACGCCGCACGGCGTCCGCCCCGATTCGAGGTGCTGCCCGGATGCACGACGACGGTGGTGAGAGAGTCGCCGTGATTGTAGCCACTGCCGGGGCTCAATCAGCCCGCCCGCTCGCTGGTTTGGCAACGCTAGCGCGCGTCGGAGTTATCGCGCCCGGGAGCGGCGTTGCGCCACGACCGTCCCGGCGCGGCACGAGCGCTGTTTGCCCCAGATCGACGCTCTTATCGAGCGGAAGTGAGGCCGAGCCAAACCGGAGCGCTTTTAAGCGACGCGAACGTCAACACCGGACGCCGTCCGAGCGGCGGGCACCCCGGGCCGTGGGCTCGACAGTGAGCGAGCGCGGATGGGTCGGACGCCCAGCGCCGCGTCGGCCCCGACCCAGGACTGCGGCTGGAGGGCTGGCGCAGTTCGGCGTACGGGCGTCGGCTGAAGCACCGCCAGCGCCGGCGGGCCATCATCGGCGAAGGCCAGCCCTGAACTAGGGAGGGGCAGGTGTGGCTTCGATGGAAGGATTGCCTCCGCACACGTGCTGGGTGTTCGGCAGTCCGAGCGAGCCGGTCACGAGGGAGAGCGGCGGCGGGGAGCTGGAGGAGGCTGGGTCGGTTCGGGACCTAGGGCCGTGCTTGGCATCCGCTGCTGACCGCCCCCCCCCCCCCCGCCCATCCGGGAGAGGCCGGGTCGGTCCTGACCGAGGGTTGTGCGTGACATACACCGCTAGTCGTCGTCCGCCCGTCGATCCGGAGAGGTCAGGTCGGTCTTGAACCGAGGGCCGTACTTCGCATCTGCCGCTTACCCGTCTCCCGTCCACGCGGGAGAGATTGGCGAGGTCATGCGCCCGCTGGAGCGACCCACCGCCGCCGGTGCGGGGCGAGGCGGGGTAGGGGGGGGGGGGGGGGGAGCGCTCTGACGGGCGGCTGGTGTGGACGTGTGCCCGCCGGACGGCGGAGGAGCGGCGGTGACGCATCGCTGCGTTATGACGCCCGCGCGCCGTGCGATTGCCACGCTATGGTCGGCCAGAATCCCTCCGTAAAACATCTGGACGGGCGCGGGAGGCAAGCGGCGGCGCCACTGCCGCGGAGATGGGCGCAGGGGAGCCCGGGCGGCGTGGCGAAATGGAGACAGGAGCGATCGGCCACATGAGAGACGGCGAGTAGAGTGGGGACGGAGAAAGGAAAAGAAGAAACGAAGTGTATGTTGGCGGCGATGGTGTGTTCGTGTCCACGTGGTTAAGGATTCACGACACCTAATTGTGAAATATGCATTATCGTGAATTTAGCGATATGCACGATCCCCGGCAATAGTATGCTCATCTGTATTATTTGTGAATGTTGTTTCGAGTAAAAACTGAGGCGCAGCAACACATCAACGATCTTCTTGGTACCAGTCCATCATGTCGCATCTTTTTGTAGCCTGGCTGGAAAGCCATGGGGCGCACCAGACCGGGGTCCCACTGATTTAGATAGATTGTCTTTTTGCGTGGAACGGTCCCCGGCTGGGTGATTTTATGGGCAGCTGGTTGTCGGCAGTGTTGTTGGCGTTCAAAATTGGCGGTTAGTTGGGCCAGCCTGACGGTTGGGCGGCTCAGATGCGGATTAGTGCTGCCACCTCTTAGCTGCCGGTGAAGCTTACCGGGAAGTCCGCGAGGCGCATCACTGTTTTCGCAAAATTAAGCGGGCGCGATTCCCAGCCGTGTGAGGCTTGGACCTCTACGTGCAAGACCCGGGCTAGATGTAAGACTGTGGCCTCCGGGCGCTAACACGGCCGTTTCAATGGCCGATGTTCCCCAAGAGAGCGGCACGACGGCGTCGACACCCATATAAACAGCGTATTTTAGAACGGCCAGCACGCACTAAACTCCTTGTCACCTGTGTCATAGACCACGCTAGACGTATGTCCCAGCGCCGCACTTCGGCCAGTTCCAAAAGTTCAAATCCGTGCGACAGCCCAGCCTGTGCCCCGCGACTGTTCTTGTTGCTCTCACCGTTCTCACCGTTCCCACCGCTCTTGCCCGGCAGTGAGCATCCGATGGGAGGACGCGCCGCAGCGGCAGAACCCGGTGATGGGCAGCCGAGCCCTGATCCGGTGCGTGGCGCGCGCCAGCCCGCCGGCCATCGTCGAGTGGTTCCGCGGCTCCCAGCTCATCTCCGGAGGCGGCAGGTGAGCGCCATGTGGCACCGGGTCACCGAAGAAGGGGGGGGGGGCATGGACGGCTCCTGCTTTCTGTTTAGATGGGGTCAGTGGTCTCATGGTCGAGGTTGGGTGTTAGCATCAGGGAGGGGGGGGGGGTTACTTTTTGGTATAGGGCAAGTCAGATGGGAGGGGGAGCGGGTATCCCTGGTCGGTCATTGGAGCTTTACGGCGCACTCAGGGGCTGAGGACTTTAAATGGTGTGCCCCCCCCCCCCCTCTCATCCTGGGGAGGGCGGGGCGAGCACCACGAGAAATGGAATCCTGCACCTCTGATATGCCAGATGCGCAACTTTTATCGGCGCCCCCGTCCTGTGAGAGGGGGGACGGATAGTTTGTCCAGACACGTTCAGTTCTGGATGATGCCTTGCTGGGGGTCAGCGTGGCTCTGCGCCCATCCAAACTGATGTGGGTTGCATAAGGTCCGTCGAAGCCCTTAGGTGACCATTTGAGGTCAATGTGCATCACGGAAGTGGGTTTTGGCACGACGACATGAGGTTAGGCCAGACTAAAATACGGCATTCTTGCGGCTCTCACGGATGTGCTGGGGTCAAAGTTCAGCGCTCCTGCGACCGGCCGACGCTAATGACCTGGCTGTGCGCGTGTGGAAAGATAGCCATCGCCAGGCGACGCTCGTGTCCTCCGGGAGGCGGTACTAGTCGGCTCACGAGCGCGTGACGAGTGGGCGGGGCCGGGCCGGTCCGGCCGCCAGACGGCCGTGGATGTTGTGGGGATGAGCGGAGTCCTCTGCCCGAACTACAGCGGGGACTTGGGGGGTCCCGGCCCGGTCATAGTCGTGCGTGTTGGTCGTGGCACTTGGCTTGATCCGTGGGTAAGTTACGACCTGCTGACATGGCGCCCCAGCACGCGCCGAGCCAGCGGCCCTTGACTATGTAGCTGTCTGGGCCTGGACCTGGACCTGGACCTGGACCTGGACCTGGACCTGGGCCTTACACCTGACACATGGGTCTTGCATCTGGACCTGGACCTGTACCCTGAACCTGGACCTGGACCCTGAACCTGGACTTGGACCCTGAACCTGCACCTGGACCTGCACCTGCACCTGCACGTGTACCCGGACCGGGACCTTGCACCTGGACCTGCGCCTTGGACTTCGATCCGAACCTGGACGGGTCACCCGACATCAGGCTCCAGCCGGGGCCTGATAAGCCATGCGTGAGCGGGCCCGCTTCGGCCGGGGTCAACTCTCTGTTGACATGCCGTGGGAGAGGTCACGCCGTGGCATGTTTGGCCGCCGCATGACCTGCAGTCACGCGACGCGCACCGATACGGGACGCCGGCTATCACGCGCTGAACGCGACCCAAGTGCCCGTTCCGTCAACGGAATGTGCGAACCGCTTGCGTGCTTTATTAGGCGGTCGCTTTGTACGCGGCCCGGCGCGGCGCCGCTCGAGGCGGGCGCCGCCGACCCCGGACGCCGCTCCGCCGCGACTCTCCGCCCGGGTAGCGTCGACAGCCGCTGCCGGCGCCGTCCGGCCGCGTTTAAAGGACCGGGCGGCGGCGGAAGCTGGCCACCGCCCGACCGGCCATTACGGCGCCGTTACCAGCCGTGGGTGGCGCCGCGCCGCCGCCTCTAATGCGCCGGCGATCTCACGGATCGGCGCGCTCGCCGCCGCGGGGCAGCGTGTTGCGTCGCGGCGGTCGCGTCCGGCCCGGGGATGGTCTGGGTCTGGTTCTGGTCCGTCTGGTGCCTGCTGTGGTGTGTCCGGTCTGGGGATGGCCTGGCTCCGGTGCTGATCTGGGTCCGACTGGTCTCGTTCCGGTTCTGATGAGTCCGTTCAGAGTCTGGTCTGGTCTGGTCCGGATCTGGCTCTGGTATGTCTGGTGCCGGTTATAGTGTGTCCGGTCTGGGGATGGTCTGCGGATGGTGATGGTCTGTCTGGTTCCGACTCAAGTGTTCCCGGTCTGATTGTTCTGGTGCCGACGCTGGTCTGTCTAGTTCCGGCGCTGGTCCGCTCCGGCCGGTAACGTACGCTGGGCCGGCGGAGTGCTCGGGCGGCTCATGTCTTTGCCCCCCCCCCCTCCCATCCCCACCCCAGATGCAAGATTCACGTGCGCTTCTGCCTCTGATTGTGTGGCGACAGTTCGGGGAAACACTGGCTCTGAAAGACACCGGGGCACGAGTTGTGCGTCTTAGGCTCATGGAGCACGTGTGCTCGCTTCTGCAGCATGGCTAGCGCGATGGTGACTTTTGGAAAGCGATGCAAGTGCCAGCGCAGTGCAGGCTTCTTTCGTGAGTTTAGGTATCGATCGGCTGGGGAAATCGTAACGGATTTTACACCGGATAGTCGGACCCAGACGGCCGACTTTCGTATTCCGCATTGCTGACGTCTGAAAAGCATCCAACGGGCCCGCACGCTACGTCAGTGTGAAAACAGATAAGAAAACTGCGTACGACCTAGTCAGCCGGAAGGTCGTGTCAGGTCAACCTGGCAAGGTCGTATCAGGTCGACCTCGCAAGGTCGCAAGATCGTGTCGCGTGACAGGTGCAGAGACCACAGAAATGCAAACGCTGCGCCGGCCCCGTGCCGCTCTAGTCCAGGTCTGTGACCACCGACGTAGACCTTGCTCCGTTCAGCCGGCACTAGCGCCGGTAGAAGCTTATAGTGTACTCAGCGTAATCCAAAGCCACGATGTGCCGACGAAGTCACGTCATCACAAGTCCAGGTCCTAGTCCAACGCCGCCAGCGCTGATTCTTCAACGACTGCCGGTACCATAATACGGAAGGTCTGCACCCCAGGCGCGTTATTCCGGCGACTCGTTAACCAATCAAGGCTGACATGATTGGATCCCGGCCGGGGTGCCCGCGTCCCGGCCGCTCGGTTTGAAGTCCGTCCCACATTGAAGCGCGGCCTGCTTTGTAAACAGGCGACGGCCCGCCTGATTTGCGGGCCGTTTACGCGCCGTTCACCGGCTGTTTACCGGCCGGTAACGTACTGCCGCGACGTCGCAGGAGCGGACGGTGTTTATGCCGGTCACGGGCGCGGGCAGCCTGTCGGGTGCTGTTGCCGGCGCGAGGACCGCGCTGGAGATGCGCCTCGGGCCTCGTCGGGTCGTGGCCGGCGTGCGGACGCCCGCGAACGGTGTCGGCGCGGACCGTGCGCAGACGGAGTGTGGTGTCGCTCTGGCGGACACGGCTCGGGTCGGCTCGGGGAGGCGATCGGGGTCGGTGTCTTCCTGTCACGTCGCAGGCCCGACGACCGGCTGCCCGGATCCCGTTCGGATCCCGTTCGGATCCCGTACGGATCCCGAGCAGATCTCTTGCGAGCCTCAGTGGGCCGCGGTGGCAGCGCGTGGGATGCCCAGCGTGGAGCGTCCAGCACTGGCCCGGCTGCCATACGGGCCGGATCTAGCGCTGTATCCGTGGATCCGCGTGGTCAGCGGATGACATGTTCTGGGATCGATTCGTGGAATCCAGGCGTGCTTGTGACCTGTGAGTGCCGCCTCGGCTGGCTGTCCGAAGACGACAGCGGCGGTCATTCGCCGCTGGACGTACTCCTTTATCGCGATAGGGCCCCGCCTGCGTCACACCCGCCCCCGCCCCCGCCCCCGCCCCGCCCCCACTCCGTGGCCCGCGACGGAACTGTTGCTGTGAGCGTCGTAAAACAGCTGCGTTTTGGTCCCTCGGGAAATGCCGGGTCTGGTTACGAGCGCATGAAAAAGCCATCTGAAGTCCGCAGTCCGAAGCTGGGTATCGATTTGCAATGGCACGGATGAGGTAGAGCCGGTCTGGGCTGAGTCATTGCCGACTGTTCCACGTCTGCGGACCCAGTTTCGGTGGGATCGGTTACATTTGGCCCTGTTCCGCGCCGCGGTCGCCCACTTCATGGGCAAGACCATCGCCCATGGGAGCTGCTCATTCTCGTTGCTGGGCTGGCAACAGTGAAATGGCAGAAACATCGCAGAACATGGAACATGGAACAAATAGGGGAACGTTTTTTTCTAGCGAAGGCCCATTTTTTCTAGTGATAGTATGTGACCCACCCCAGCTGCGCCCGGCTAGCTTCAGCTTTTGACTGCGCTTCTCCGGGCACCGCGCACGCGGCCCCCGGGCGGGTCGGCGCCCGGCCACGCCCAGCGGTGCCGCTGGCTCACTTCTCTGCGCGACCGACGTACCGAGCGGCCTCCGGACACGCTAGACCCCGCGTTCGGCGCGGCCCGCTTGTGACTGCCCAGCCTTGTCCTGGTACGTGCGGCCGTATTCTGATCCCCAGACTCCCGCCGAGTCTTCGTGTTCGACACGTGGCGTCATTTTGTCACCGGCATGTGACGCAGGATCGCCCCCGTGACCTGCTCTGACCTGTTCTGACCTGCGGCAGGTACACCACGCAGGATGACGGCCTGGTGATCGAGAACATCACGTCCGAGGACGACGGCGTGTACCTGTGCCGTGCCAAGGTGCCTGCCGAGGGCGAGCTGGATGAGCGCCGCATCACCGTCGAGGTCAGTGGGCGCCGGGGAGCCGCAGGTGGCAGGCTCGATTCTCGGTCGAGGCCGATTTTTCCGGTGTGGGACGCTGCGATGGCGATTTGCGAGTCGTCGGGGGTGCTGAAGTCGCTGCCGATCGGCGCCAGCGCTGAGCTTCGGCGGGGTTCGGCGGTACAGCGTAGTCGCAGGCGGCGGCGGCGCACCGACACCCGCTGTGGGATTCGCGTGCCTTTTGTCCTTGTGGTGGATACTGCTTCCTGAGATGCCGCTTATCGGCTTCTATCGCCTTTTTTGAAATCTTTGGATGGTTTAGCATCCGAGACGAGACTGGACGTCTTTGATCGTACCGCCCATCCTTTTAATACTGCATCTAGACTTGGTAGCACCAGCGAAACCAGCTGAGTTGTCTTTCCCACATTGCACAAGTCACGTGCAGCGCTTGGGTTATCTGCATCGCAGTTTGCGGCTCACACGGTGCGCTGCATTCACAGCTCGTATTGCATGCACTGTTCGCCGGATCTAATTCATTGGCATAACACGCTTAATCACACGCTTCATCCGAGCTCGCTGACGACATCCCCTCACCCCGAGCCGCTGCTGTGCTGCGCATGCGACCCACAACTGCTCTGCTAAATGACGTCAGTGGCACGTGTCCAACGAACGCTTGAAACACAAACGCTGGCTGCTGGATATGGACTCGCACGGGCCAGTCACCTGACTGGCAGATCCGCGTTTCTTACGACCCCTGCGCCCCTGCGTGACCTCTTCGGTGACGTCATCCCCGGCGTGACCTCTTCGGTGACGTCATCCCCTGGACAAGGCGCGAGATTTTCGAAGTGATGCGCTTTGGGTTCAATCGGGGATCATCGCGCCCGTGTAGGCCACAGCTCCGGGGACCTAGGCTCTGGCGCCGCCCCTCGCGCCCGCGCGCCCCGTGCGCCCGCCGACGGGCCTGACCTCCGCAGCGCGCATCCCTCCCGGGCCGCGTCGCCTCCTCGCCGGGCTCCCCGTTGGCTTCCCCGCTGGCCTCCCCGTAGACCTCCCCGTCGGCCTCCCCATCGGCCTCCCCGTCGGCCGGCGGCTCGCACGGCCGGGAGGGCCGGCCGCTCGGTCATCGATTCCCAGCGCCGATGGCTGGGGAAAGGTCGCCGCGAAGCCGGCGGCCAATCGATTGGTCGGCGGCGGCCGCCGTGACCGGCCGCCGTTGCCGCTCCGACAGGCCGGGCTGCACGCGCTGGCCGGGCCCGGCCTCGGGTGGGATTGTAGGGCGTGGGATCTGGCGGCCGGCAGGGGGGGGGGGGGGGGACGGGCAGTGGTCTTGGGATGAGGGTTCAGTGCCGTGCCTGGGGCGGGGCGGGCAGGACCGAGTGGGAGGGAGAGAGAAGTTTGTTTTGGCGGCGAAGTTTTTGCCCAAAAAGGCATATCAGTGGTGCAATACGCGTAGTTTTGTGTATTGTGATTAGTGGTGGATCTACGTCTTGACGAGACATGGCGATCAGAGCCAATTCGTGGCGGCTACCATGTGGAAAACAGTTTTTTGTCCGATAGCCTTTTGATAAGGGAGTTGTACAGTTTGTTCCTTAAAAAACTACCATATAGTCGCCGAAATGACATCGCTTTGTTAAAGCAAGCGTCGAAATGTAGGTACGTTTTCAGTCTAAATTATCCACAGTTTCCAATTTCCTGACAGCAAACACATTCTAGGTACGCGACCAGGCCTCGTAGATAGCATAAGCTACCAGCTTGTTAACTTTTTACACATACAAAACACAGTCAGCTTTGGAAGGCTCAATGGTCACATTTTACACTGTGATAGTCCTCCCAACCATCCTCGAGGACTTATGCAATGTAGTTGTTTATGGATGTTGTGCTTCTTTTTGGGGGGTTTATCGTTTATTCATGACACAAGCGAAGAAGACAGCATGAGGCCATTGCGGCACCCGGCGTTGGAAACGTTCACACATCACCCGCCCTGGGAATGCTTCCCTGCTCAGCACCGGGCACTGGTGTGCTCCGGGCTGCCATTTTCGGTTGACTTCGCGCGATAAACAGCCGGCAGACGAACTGATGACGTCAGCGTGCCGCCCGGTAAATACGGAACCGGAAAAGTTGGGAGCGTACGGCGGTATCTGTGCCGTCGCCATGCTGCTGGCAGATTCTGCTCACCTTTTCTCTGAATGGGAAAGGTCAGCACAAGCTATGCCTGTGTGTGGCCATTGGGTTAGGTTGGCACTTGCGCCCAATAGTTGCCGCTCGCGGCCGCTCCGAAGAATGTGCCTTGTTAAAGTTGGCGCTAATTACTACCTGCTAATGGCCCTGAATCGATGCGTTTAAGTCTGCGGGCGGAAAATTTGATCCATGGGTACGAAAGACGCAGCAATTTAGAATGCCCGCCATCGATTACATAAAACGGCTAAGCGCGTTTTGATGATAGGCGCTTAAGTTGATGGAAGTGGCCTCTTACGTGTTATTAATAGGCGATGTCGTTAGAAAATCAATTATTGAGCTGTGCTGAAAAAGTGGATTTGGCGTTTAAGCGAAGCGACCAACCGCTTTCCTGCCGTGTATCTCTGCGCTGCATGCAGATGAAATGTCGTCGGAATTCCTAGCTTGGAAACGACCTGTTAACTGTTGAAAGTTCGTGAGGTTCTAATGCCACGTCAAAAACAAACGTGCCAGGAAGTAATATTGACGAAACGTAGTGCAACGTTTTAGATGTAGCGAAACAGCCGTCCTTGGTTACGAATTTGTTGTGTCGTCTGCTGATTGCAGCTTCGCAGTGTGTGTCAGCGGAACAATTTGTTGTGTCGTCTGCTGATTGCAGCTTCGCAGTGTGTGCCAGCTGAACAATTTGTTGTGTCGTCTGCTGATTGCAGCTTCGCAGTGTGTGTCAGCGGAACAATTTGTTGTGTCGTCTGCTGATTGCAGCTTCGCAGTGTGTGCCAGCTGAACAATTTGTTGTGTCGTCTGCTGATTGCAGCTTCGCAGCGTGTGTCAGCGGAACACTTTGTTGTGCCGTCTGCTGATTGCAGCCTTGCAGTGTGTGTCAGCTGAACAATTTGTCGTGTCATCTGCTGATTGCAGCTTCGCAGTGTGTGTCAGCGGAACAATTTCTTGTGTCGTCCGCTGATTGCAGCCTCGCAGTATGTGTCAGCTGAACAATTGCGGGTGAGGCTGCTGATCGATCGAGTCCTATGATCAACCCAGTTACTTAGTAACGCGGCCCGGCAGGTGATGGGTTTGAAGAGCTTACATTGTTGCGACCACAGATTGCATCATCGCGAAGGTTCAAGCGACAGTTATTTTGAAGGGAATGTTCCACGTTTGTATCGGGTTGAACTGAAAAAGCTGTCTTGAAGACCTTTCGGTGCCGTTCACAATCCTGTAGTTCTTAAGACCCTGTAGTCTTTGAGAGCTACACGCCCGCAAAAGTGGGGAAAGGTATATCGGGGAGAGTATTTCAAAGTCACCGTCGCATTCATGACGTTATAATAACGTCATTCAAATCCTGCCGCCTCATAAGCCACGCGGCAATCAAGGCCATGAAAAGCATAATTGCCGAGGCGTTCCTATCTGGCGTTCATGAACGCGACTTCCAGATAGATTGACCGTCAATTACCTCTTAATCGATTTCAAGGCACGATGACGTAATCAAACCATGGCGCATTGAGGAACATTTACTAAACAGAGAATGCCGAGAGTTGTAAGTGAGCTTGGTTTAGCACATCTGATGCTTGCTTCAGTGTCTTCAAACGCGAAACACATTCGACAATTGCAGTTGCGCAGCTCCTTTATAGCTGTGCAATAGTATTTCCCAACACTGGAATGCAGGCTATTTGGTCGGAGGACACATTTTTGCAGCGCTGCAACATAACGAGTATTTTACATCCCTATTCTATTAACAACTGAAACCTTCAGGTCGCGAAAAAGCTGAAGAGGGCAGCTCGGGAACAGGTCCAAGCCCGGCGACCATGCGTCGTAAGGAGATGAGATGAACACTGACGGAGAAGAAAACTGTCAGTCGTACCGACGAAGAGCATGGGTCACTGTGCGCAGACCCTCACGCGCAATAGCGCGCAAGTCACACGCCCGCCCGGGATCTGCCGTTTTTGAGGACTGATAGTCAGATCTCGGCAGCGAGAACACATTGAGACGTGAACCTAGCTTAACAGTGTAAGTGTGCAAGTCATAAAGCGATGTGAACACTGTCCTCGTCACGGGACATCAGTGACAGATTTGGAAGTCACTGGCGCCACGCTTCCGAAACCGTCCTCAAGTGCAGCGCACTGTGGCGTAACCTGAGGCCCATTGTGGTGTGAGGGGGAGGGGAGGGTTCATATGAACTATGTAAGTGAATAGGCCAGTTTGTGGTGCCCAATTTCCAACCAGGTTATTTGCACTCCTTCCTCTCCCCCCCCCCCCCTCCGCTGCGCCCAATACTTTTGCCGCGGTCAAGCAAAGTGAATTATTCCATGTTCACTGACGTCGCCTATTAAAAATGTCATGTCTTGTCAGAGCCAATACCAGCTGGTATTCTGGCCACGCGCTCCTAGCGCGAGGATGCGAAGCAGAGTGCACCTCCGCCAGCCAAACTCATGGATTGAAATGTTCTAATGCGTTGGTAACTCCCATCCGCATGGGCCTCCGTAGGCGATAGATAGGCTCTATTCGCAATCCAAACATCATGTGTATGGTGATAATGACGCTCGTTATCCGTTACTCGTGCCATGCCGCAGAATGCGTCTCACCGGTTACCACTGCCGTTCTGGTCTCAACGGTCAGTCTGAACAGGTGTGTGCGGACTAAAGTGTGAAGGAGCGTGTCGTGTCCTGTCTGTGTGGGAGTGTGGCGTGCCCTGTCTGTATAGGAATGTGTCGTGCCCTGCCTGTGTAGGAGCGTGGCGTGTCCTGTCTGTGTAGGAGCGTGGCGTGCCGTGTCGCGTGGAATCAGCGCTGGTCGACTGCCAGTGCCGCGAGTTTCAGATCAGGCTTTGTGAGTGCTTGGCAGCGATACCGTCCGATGGTATTTAGGTATTTAAAGGTATCACACCCAATTGTAAAGCCTGGTTTTAAGTGGTTTTGAACTGACCTGGAAGGGCAAGCGTTTCCTCATCAGCGTGGCTTAGCGTTCCAAGCGCAATCCCGTAATGTATCATCCGGTTTGGTGGCCTCCATTTCGAGTGGTATGGTAGATTGATTTAACCCATACATTGCTGATTGAATGGCTGTGGATAAAAGCCTATGCGAAGCCTGGACGACGCTGTCGTTGTTGCCCCTCTTGTCAGTTTCGTAAGGTGAAAGTGCATCAATACCGCTCTGAAATATTTTTTTGCATGAGCATATGGGCCCGAAACTCCAGTAGCCCCTTCTTATTCAAGGATTATAAAAAAGTAAACCTTGCTAAAATGAGCTGTTTCGTCCCGTTCGCTCAATGGCGTGATCTGAAATCGGCTCAGGTTGCGTTAACGAAACTGGTTTTCCGCCCGAACCCAGTATTTTTTCCCATTAGCCCGACAGCCCGTAAAACCACTCTCCCAAGCTTCTCGTTGATGAGGCACGGTCACCTGTGGGCGGGGAGGGGGGGAGGGAGGGGGGGCTGGTACCAGCGTCGGCTGTCTCCCTCCAGCTGCCGGTCCGGTCGTCTGTCCAAATAGCCAGCGCTATCACGTGGATGTTAATTGGGGTTAATGGCCACATTTTCCGCCGCATTAATCACGTT